GGTGCTTGTAACACAAAATAAAATGCTGTCCTCATTTTTAAGTGAAGAAATTTCACAGGGCAGATCGTTTTTACAAGTCTTGATGTTCCAACTCTTCATTCTGAATATTTACTAGAGAGACTGGTAATGCGTGAGTACTGAGATTTGAAACAATCAAAACCTTGAGAAGGATGAGAGTCAGAGGACAAAGTGATAAAATCCCTCAGATCTGATCTCTGAAGTAAGCCATACCCTGCAGGTGATTTCTAGTTTTACAAGCTGGAGGCAAAGTCACCTGCTGGAAGAGGGGAGAAGTGAGGACGGGGTGTGACATTTGAGAAGTGAAGGTATAAATGGTTAATCCAGAGAATAAATAGCGTGGTCAGCCAGTGTTTAGTGCTGGGGTAAGGTGTGAAGTCATGAATTTAAACCAGTCAGCCTGATAGTGTGATTTGTCGCCAGCAATCTTTGTTTCTTTGTGAAAGCAATTGGAAAGTTTGTTCTAGCCAGTTCAGTCCAAGAAGGTTGAGTTTCTTCCCAACAAGAAAGATAAAGAGAGACACTGGGAAATAAGGGCTAAAAATGTTTGCAAAAGACCAATTACAGGGTTTTATCAGGGAATCTAACTTGAGTGAGTTGGAGATGGTTACATGATGGATAATAGGTTTCTTTTTTGTTTGTTTTGTAAGTGTTAGAGCTAATGGGTTAGAAGTGTCAAGTAGGTCAATGAGGGCAGTAAATGAGCTTACCGGGAAAGGCTGGTAAAATTGACAATTGGGATGTTTGAAATTGAGATTTAGAAGTTAAGACAGTTATTCTATGACAAAGTTCAGAGTCTTACTACTGGAATGGATGGATGAGAAGGAATAGAGGAGCAAGTTGTTGGAGATGAAAAGCATAGAGGTAAGTGACCAAGTGTTTGTGTTGCATGATCATCTAGAAGAATGGTGAATTCACAAAGAATTGTGATAGCCAAGTAGGATGCTGGGGAAAACATAGAGCAAGGAGCAACAGTCTAGAATATCCAAGGGAAAGTGACTAGAAAAAAAGGTGGAGGGTGATTTAGCTAGATGATGTTAACTTCAAATGTTTTTTTAAGCAGGAAAGAGGAGAAACCGTTTGGAAATAGTAATCAGAAACAAAGCTGCCCCCCCCTCCCCAACTCCTTGGGGCAATCATTTTCCTGTGTTCAGCGCACAAAAGAAATCATCCCCTACCTTGCTGGGTCTCTTCTCAGCCAGACCAATAATCCAAACAACATCAGGTAGATTAGTAAAGGAAAAATCAATTTTGTAACATAAGTATGGAGAATTTACATGGTTGAAGTCCTAAAGAATAATGGAACAAATCAGTGATGTTTATTCTGCATAGGGACCTGAGGTGGGGGTGGGGGACTTCAAATGAAAGACAAAGGGGTTACTCCATGTTTGCTCTTGAAGATGAGATTCTTAGATATATTTCACTGATAAACCTACCACTGGGTGAGACCCTCCCCGCAACTACCTTCTTCTAGATCATAGAAGGGGGAGCAGTGATTGTTTCTTCAACTAGGAAAAGGGCAAAGGACTGAGGCATGGGAACAGACTCCTCAGTCTCCAGTGCCCTCAGTCTCTCAACTCAAAACAATCTGTGTTCTTTAAGTAATGGTAATAGATCTCCCAAGGCTCACCAGGCCTCACTGACCTCTAGTTCCCATAACAAGAGACCTCCCCTGGAAATATTGAAGAAAGCCTATATGACCCTTTAGGGGAGACTGACCCCACAAATTATACATAGAGTGTGAGGAAAAAATAGCCTTCCCTTCAGAGTGCTGAAGCAAAGTTAAAAGCCAAAATACCTTTGTCACTGAAAATAGTGGTCCTGGGGATATACCCAATTACATGTAGGAAGAGTCTAGATCTGAGTTGGATGACTCATGACTTTGCGGAAGCTGTAGTAGAAAAGCAGTTTTGCTCTCTGATAGCATATGTCATCAACCAAACCTCCTAAAAAATGTAAAATCTGCAAATAACCTCAGTTGATAGCATGCAAGGATAAGAAAAAGAGAGATACTTGATGAAAGGAGTAAAAATGATGGTTTTGCTCAGGGAACATTCATTTCAGGTATGTAGAATGTAGTTCTTTGTGAATTGCATTATCTTTAATGTCGGTCTATAAGGCATAGTACTATACATGAAAAGGATCAGATACTAGGGACCCTTTCATAGGAATGTAAACTGGTACAGCCATTATGGAAAGCAATCTGGATTGACCTCAGAAAACTAAAAATGGAAATACTATATGATCCAGCAATCCTACTCTTAGACAGCTATCCAAAGAATATGAAACTATCAACATATGAATATAAATACATACATATATATACACATACATATATATTTATGCTCTATTATATATCTATATGTGCTCTACAGTGTTTATTGCAGCCCTATTTACAATAGCTAGGATATGGAATGTTCAAAATGTCTAGCAATAGATGACTGGATCAAAAGTTGTGATATAGCCATACTAATGGAATATTATTAACTCGCAAGAGGAAATGAAATGCAGCTATTTTCACCCAAACAGAGTGAGTCCAAAGAATTTTGTGTAATATTTAATAAGAAAGAATAACAAAATTCTGAAACTTTACTCAGCAGATAATTTGATAAAGTAAAATACAAAAATTAGTGGATATTAAACACTGTGAGAGCTCTGAGGTTAAGGAGTGGGAGAAAAGGATAAGGAGTAGTGGTGGGAAAATAAAACAACTTTTAAATACAATTGTCCCCCCACCCTTTCTTTTTTTGGCTAGTGGTAAAAAGTAGGATGAATTTCTGTCTGTAAGGATTAAACTGCCTAAAAAATTCCTGGTGCAAAGGCCCCAACAAAGAGGCTGTGCAACATCCTTGGGTGACTCTGGGTTGGGGACTGGGGGGGTGGGGGGTGGGAGGAGGTGCGTCTGTCACCCCAGCATTGTACTGCGGGCACATCCAATTTAGAGGGAGGACTATTACCTTTAGTGTTGGTAATGCCTCCTCCAAGGATCCACTTAAGGGACCTAGCGGCCCAGGAAGCCTGAGATCATAGGGCAGCTGTCTGAGCTTAGAGACCCTTTTTTGTACTCCACCCTTGTCACGTGGAACATAATCCTAGTAACTCACCCCTTTCAGTTAAAGCAGCAAAAATCTACCCTTTAAAATCACTCGTATAGTCAGGTCAGAGTCAAATGCTTCAACCTGCAGATTAACATTTTAATATGATAAATTGCTAATTCAAATAGGATAAATCCAACTGTGACTTCTTGCTTGGTCCGCTATAATTTGAGATTGGTCTAGAAAAAAATAGCTGAACGGCAGCAGGCACACTGCAGAGAGGGACCATCCTTCATGCATTAACTACATTTGTGGGGTCACCAATCAGTGCAAAATCACGCTCCTTTGCATCCTTAGTTCAGTTTCCCCTCTGAAGACAGAAACAAAACACTTGCCTGTGTGCCAAGAAACTGGGGGCCGGGTGGTGGGAGGAAGAGATAAGGAAGGAAGTAACCTCTTTTACAACTTGCTAATTAAAATGCAATTCTTAATTCTCATCACTTGGTTTATTAGTATGGTGTAAATGGGTAACTACTGAGATCTTTAGATCATGATATACATTTGCCTCTAGGAAAATAATACATCATTTTAAAAGTCCCAATTTGAACAAAATAGGAAATGATTTTAGAGGAAACATTTTAAATTTACCCTAACTTAAACAACCGTGCAGTAACGATAGAAATATTAAATTAATAAGTCTGTACTGTGAAAGTGATGCCAAATTTTTAAAACATTTTATAAAATGTTTGGAGGTTGAGATTCTGGGGAATGATTAAGACTTCCTTACACAGTTTTTCTTTGCTTCAAGTAAGCATCTTGAAGCATCTATCTAAGTGGTAAAAAAGACAAAGTTTTGTCATCGATGGTATTTGTTTTCAGGAAGGCAATATATTGGTAGCAAATTTCTGACTTCACCACGATTTGGATCAGTAATACAGGTTTGATGACGGGTCCCGGCTTCATTATAGGTAACCAGGCTCCTCCTGAGATTAAAATCGAGTATGCACCTTCTTAACTGTCTTAAGTGGCCCATTAATGTTGCCTTTCATGTCGCTGAACTGAACATTAGGTTTAACTTTCAAGCTACTTGACCAGCACAAGGCTCTCCACAACAAAATGCTGCTTGGGCTCTGCAGCCCCCGCTAACTGTTCCAGTGAACTCCTTCTCAAATGCCCCAGCCTTCAGCGTGAGAAACAAATGGGATGTTTGACAACACACTTTTGTGACAAATCCAAGGACACTGAAAGTGGCCAGTCATAAAGGTCTGGCTTTCCGTGCATTTCAGGAACAAAAGAAGCGTCTGCAAACCAACGCGGGGACTGAACCACCAGCTCTCCCCTCCCCTCCCCTCCCGTAAATCAAATCCAGGGCTGGGGGAGCAACAAGCGCGCCCGGCTTCTCTCCCCCTGCAGGGCTGGTTTTGGGGGTGCAGGAAACGCCGCGGCTATTCGCCCCAATAAGCGACCCCGGCTGGAGCCAGGCCCGGCCTGGGTGCTGGTGGCCGCGCGCCCCTCGGGCCCGGGCGCCGGGGCGCTTCAGCTTTGAGGGGGGCGGGGAGGGGGGGCAGAGGGGAGCGCGCACAAAAGCGGCCCGGCGACCCCGGCCGGAGACAGGGCCACAGCCGCGGCCCGGCGCCGCCGCTCCCGCCCGAGCGCCTTTTAAACTGCGTTTCCACAACCCCCGGCCCGGCGCGACGGCTAATGGAGCCCGCGCGGGCCTCTCAGCCAATCAGCGCCGCGCTTCCTCGCGCCGCCCGCCAATGGCGGCGCGCCTTCTTGGGGCGTGGGCGCAGCGGGCGGCGCGCGGCGGCCTGTAGTGTGTGTGGGCTGCGGCGGCGGCGGGCTCTGGCTTGGCCGCGCCGGGGCCGCGCTCGAGCTCCGGGGCTTTGTGTCCGCTGGGCGCCGGGCGCCGGGCGCGCGGGCGTGGGCTGAGGCCGCGGGTTGGTGCCGGCGGCCGCCGCGAGGCTCGGAGGCGGCAGCGCGCCCCCCCTTCCGACCAGGAGCGCGCGCGCCGGCGTGAGCGCGGGAGTGAGGGCTGCGGGGAAGGGGGTTCGCCGCCGAGATGCCCGAGTTCCTGGAGGACCCCTCGGTCCTGACGAAGGAGAAGTTGAAGAGCGAGTTGGTGGCCAACAACGTGGCGCTCCCGGCCGGCGAGCAGCGCAAGGACGTGTACGTGCAGCTCTACCTGCAGCACCTCACGGCGCGCAACCGGCCGCCGGCCGCGGGCACCAACAGCAAGGGGCCCCCCGACTTCTCCAGCGACGAGGAGCGCGAGCCCACCCCGGTCCTGGGCTCCGCGGCCGCCGTGGGCCGCAGCCGGGCCGCCGTCGGCAGGGTAAGGACGCCCGGCCGGGGCCACAAAGGCGGGCGTTTGGCGGGGGGCGCCCCCCGCGCGGCCGCTGGGCGCCCCCGCGGGCGGGCGGGCCGTGGGGGGGATGTGAGGGGGGCTGCTGGGCCCGGGCGTCCCTGAGGGGGGCCCGCGGGGTCGGCGTCTGGCCGCGGGGGGCCGGGGCGGTGTGAGCTCCGCGTCGGCTGGGGGGCGCGGGGCGCGCGCGGCCGGCTTGGGGCGCCCCGGCCCCCCGGAGCGGGTGTGCACCCCGCGACCCCCTCCCGCCAGGCCTGGGGGAGGCTCAGCCCGAAACTGCCGTAGGTGCCTCGCGAACGTTTTCCCGCTTTATTAACCGAAATGGCTGGTGACAGAGCGCTCCCTGGAGGGCAGTTTGCGGCCGACCCATTTGGAATCAAAAATTTGAATTAAAGATTCCCGCCCTTTTAGGGTTTTGCATATGGAGGGATTTTTGAACCGTTTGCGTGTTTCTGGGGAGTGCTGCTCGCCTCCGGCCGCCGGCTGTCTTTGGGGGGCACGGCCTTTCTCGCAAAGGAGCTTTTTAAGGCATTTTCAGGCCGTCGTCACGGACGCGCAGATGCCTGGAAACCCCAGTTAGTGGAGCAGGGTTGGGGTTGGGGAGTTTGAGTGTTGGCTTTTGGTAAACTCCGCCTGAGGAAAGGAGAGCTGCAGAATCAGGAGGATGTTTGCTTGTTGACATGCCGATGCAGCGCTGATGAGATTGGGATTAGCTCATCCTCGGGAAATCCCAGATTGGCTCCAGCAAGTGCATATTTTTTTTGCTTGGGAATCGTTGGCTTTTGTTCTGTGGGTTTCTGGGTGCTGCTCCGGGGTGGCTGTGTCTGGGGCCCAGCCTTCCTAAGAGCATGCGGGAAAAGCTGTGAGTGGTGGAGGAGACACGCCGCGTGAGCCTTGGGTGGCGGGTTTCAAGTTGTTGCTAATTACTAGAAGGACTCCTGTCAAAGCACACAGCCCCCTGTGTTCTTTAACTTTAGTTTTTAAAATCTGCTGTGGTTTCTTGGACTACTCGGGTGGAAACGGGAGAACGAATTTCCTATACCTAAATTTACATTCTTATCCTGGACTTTAGAAAAGTTACAGAAATCGAGAGTCCATGCCTGGCACGTCGTAGTTCCAAGTAAATATCTGTTTCATAGAGAAAAGACTAACTGCATCTTACTGTTTCTGGTGTGTGTTTTGGGTGGGTTTGAAGAAAGCCAATTTACATCATAAATAGTTTACTTTTGAAGTAGACCATATCCCTTACCTGTTTTTCCCCAACCCCTCTGCAAAAGAAAGTAATAAACTATTTTAGTAAAATTTGGTTGAAATGAAATGTGTAACATGTAAATCAGCAGGTCTTCTGTAGAACCAGGGAAGTTTTTGGTTGCATGTTTATAATAAGATTATTTGTTCTTGAGTTGATTTGTTTTCAGCAGAAAGAACAATTTCAGTTTTGATGTGTGTGTTAATTTTAAATCGATGTGTTTTTAACAGGCAATTATAAATCAGAGACATTCTGCAGGGGGAGGGAGGGACCTTGGTACCGGTGAATAGGTGGTGGGAATTCTACTGGGACTACTCTTGAGGGGAGAAAGCAAATATTGTACAAAAATGAACAATGGTATGACATATATAAATACATAAATAAAATTTAAAGACAGTAAAACAATGCATCCTAGTCTACCCTGTGGTTTTTGAGGTATAAGAAGACATGACATGAATGTAAAAAATTTTAGTATCAGTTCAGTTAGCCAGTATTTTTCAGTTCATACGGCGTGTTCATAATTACTGGAGATCAATTTCTGTAGACTCCAACCACCACTGAAATTTAATTTCTTGGTTTGTAGTTTTTGTTTTGCATAATCATGTTTGTTTGCTCATATTTCCATGTTGCCCAAGTTGGCCAGCCCTGTGCATAAGTTCTGGGTAAAAGGAATTAACGTTTTAAGAGAACATTGTATATCAATGACATACTAAGTCCTAGTTTAATGTTTGATTATACAGAGAAAAAATATGTAATGACTTAAATTTTAGTCGTCTACCTGGAGTATTTAAAACAAAGAAGTGTGTGCCCTTGAGCAGGTTCAGTGCTACCCAACAACTTGAAAAAAGTTAATAGTGATAGTTGGTCAGTAACATTTTCTGTATTAAAGCACATTGAGTTGAGTTTAAATTTAAAGCACAGTGAGTTGTAACTTAATATAGGAGTTTGACAGACATTTTAGGATCAGGCTTAAGGAGAATACTTCTACAGGAAAAAAAGCTTACGGCATTTGTAAATGTTGGTACATGCCTTTTACTCTCATACTCTCTTTATAAATACAGTATTTTACATTCTAGTCGTTGCTAGTCCTATTTGAGTAACAGCATAGAATCACATTATGTTTGAGAGTTGCAGATAAGCAGTCTTTAATATTTTAAATGAAATATTAATGTGGATTTAGCTAAAGGCATGGCATATACCACCTTTTATGGGTTTGTGGGTTAAAGGAGAAACTTTGATCTTTCGCTACAGTTATATTCACTTGGTGTGATATAAAATATTTGTATATCAAAAAATTGCTCTTTAGTTTTCTTATTTGAAAGCTTTTTATTTTGTGCATCGATATCATAATTTTTAGCTTTGAAATTAGGTTAGTGAGGGCCTCCCTGGTGGCACAAGGGGTTAAGATGGCAACGTATGAAGCTATTCGCAACCACTGCAGCACAAGTTCCGATCCCTGACCAGGGAGCTACCCACATGGCGCAGCAGACCTCTCCTGTCTCCCTGCTGCTACCCTCAGCAGTTTATTTCAGTCTGTCTGCCTGTTCTGTTCACTCTGTCTCTGGTGATTCCTCATACTTCCCACACCTATGGCCTTTACCCCAGTTCTTGTTTGCATAAATAAATAAATCTTAAAAAAAAAATAGAAATTAGGTTATTTACAGAGTTGGCAATCAGCCTTTTCATTCCAAAGTACAAACCTTTGTAGCTTTTCAGAATCTGAAGGAACGTAGTATTCTTGAATGGTCTGATCCGTCGGATTATGAATTCTTAACAGGAAATAATTTAGCGATGCACAACAAAAAGTATTAGCACAACAAAAAATATTAGCAATGGTAAATATTAATCAAATAATTGACCACTGCATGCATACTAGGTGTTAAGTGTACAGACATCATTCAGAGTTCAATTCATATTCCAGGTCTCCACTTGTTCAGATGACCTTGAACAATGAATATTGCCTATTGGACGCTTAGTTCCCATCTGGAAAACAGAAATACTCTAATAGCTGCTTAATTAGATTGAAGATTATATGAGGTTGCATATCTGAAGGTGTTTGTTGCTCAGCATTTGACACCTATCACATGAGATTTCAGAATTTTGCCAGAGCAATCCACTGTTGTGATAATAATATTTTTCAGAATTGGACCAGGTAAGTTTGTTAAAGTGATACATATATATAGATATAAAGTCTTTAGAATTTTACTGTACAGCATAGTATGCAGATTTTCTAATTAGCTGTGCAACCTTTGATTGCATTTTCCTTATTTGTAAATCAAGAATGTTAGTATGTGTCTCAAAGGATTTTTTGGAATAGTAAATTAATACATATAAGACACTTAAAATGCAACTTGGTACCCAATAAATGATCAGTGAGTTTTTTTTTTTTTAAACAATTATTGTCAAACTTCATCTTGCTACTAAAGATAGAGCTTGAGGGTGATACAGAAATAAATTTGGTTTACAACAATGTGTATGTTTTAGGACTACAGGTTCACATTTCTACAAATATCACACCATGCCCACAGCAAAGTACTAATATCCCTCCACCACAGTCCGTTAAACCCCTTCCATTGACCCTCTGCTGACCTTAGTCAGTTCTGTTGTCCAGAATCCAAGGGTTAGAACTGTTGGTTCTGATTGAAAAAGACATTATAAATATTAGAGTTCTACAGTGAAACAAGAACAGTGTCAGGCATATAGTAGGTCCTGGGTTTTTTTTGACTGAATCAAACTAAGAGATTACATTGATTTATTTAAAGGTAAAAAGCTCTCTGGAGGCAGATATCAGTATAATTAAATGGTCTCCCTAATTGAAATTGCTGACAATTTGATAGCCACTTTCCTGGAAATTTTCTTAGAAGTGAAAATCTGAGACCTTGTTATGAACCCCTCCTCTATTTGACTTATGTCAGCTTATTGGCCGCTTAAGATTTCTCTGTAGAGCTGTAGTTTTTTGTAAAAATTCAAGGGAGTTGGTTTTCTGCTTTGATTTGATAAGCTTTTGTGGTGTTTTGATGAGAAATATATTTTTAAGAAACACGGAATTTATTTTACCACCCCCAAATGCCACTTTGATTAATTAATTCAACCTAACATCCGTGGAGTACCTGATCTGGTGTCACACTCTTGAAATTTTAGATGTCCTGCTTTCTTCTATCCTCTTGCATGCTGCATCCAGATCACCTAAGATACAAATTAAAATACAGAACTCAGACCCTGGTTTAGGAATCAGAATGGGGTGAGGCTTTTTCATAGGGGCAGTTTTTGCAAATTTTTGAAGGTTTGGTAGCAAGTCAATTTAGGGGTGATTGCTTAAGGAATTCACCATGTAGAGAAGAAAAAGCTTGTTTCTTGAAACCCTCAGGCAGTTACAGTTTTGTTGGTAGTAAAATTTGAACGTTGTTCTGCTGGGAAGGATTATAAGTAATTATAATTGATTGATTTTCTTTTATTTAAAGTAGTTGTTATACTAAGCAAAGTTTTTCTCCCCAAACTATCCATGCTTTTTGGAAAGTTCAAGTGGATCACTAACCACAAATCTGTTTGATTTAAAAGTTTTTTTCTCTAAAGTATTCAAGACTTTGTTTTTGTGGGTTTGTTTATTTATTTATTTTTTTTTAAAGACTGACATATAGGACTCAGACTACCTCGGCATTTATTTTGATGACACCATGTGGGTTGCTTCAACATTTGAGAGTGATGTTCCTAATCAGTGCAATATGGAAGTGCTCTCACTTTTCACAGCCGTTTTGTTCGTTAAAGAATTCTCTTGAATTGACGTCATTGTTGTTAGCAGCTTTAAAAAAAAATCTATAGTACTTTAATGGTTTCAATTTTTATTTGATGAACAAATTCTAATGCATGGCCAAATAATGCCTGTTTTTTTTTCCCCTTCAGTATCATTGGAAAGTTAGCAGTCCATACTTTATGATTTCACCATTTCAATTTCTAGGATGCAGTATTGACTCTTCTGCCTTAAGTAATAATGTGGGCCTAAATTGGCTTTGATATACATGGCCCTTGTTAAACAGCTATATATTTGTTCTGTATCTTGCTGCTTTCTGAGATTAGTAAGGCTCTTTGCTACAAACTTAAAAGATAACCATGTTTTGCTCTCTTCTGTTTAATCCTGGGATTTTATATTTATTTTCCAATAAATAATTGCCATTACCAAAATTATTTAGAAAACTTCCTTTGAAATTTCTCTCTCAAAGCTTGCTCCAAGTTCCTCTGTCGGTGAAACAGTCATATAGAACTAAATGTGACAAAACTGTCAGAGGTGTTTATGTAGCCATGAAGTGTCTGGCTACCTTCATTGGTCATAAACTGGCTAGTAAGGTCATTATGTTAGAATATTTGTTTGGACATCTTAAATTCTGATAGACTAATTTAAAAGAAATCACTTTATATATAACTTTACTAAGTAAATATTTACTAAGTAAATATAAGTAAGACTTTATAAGGTAAAGTCTTTAAACTTTTCTAGATTATGTTTTTTAAGATTATGGAAAGAGGCCAGTTGTATATTGTATTTTGCAGTTACCTGCGTGAAAATGTTTAAAATCTAGTCTATTTGCTCTTGAGTTTTTTTGTTTTTTATTTCATCCTTGAATAGTTTAGCCAGAAATGGACCATTGTAACAGTAAGATCTTTAAAAGTTATTTGCTTGGCTGTAAAGTTTGTATAATTGAACTTAGAAAACATCTTCAAACTTAGAAAACATCTTCAAAGATAAGTTACCTTTTAATCAAATTGCTGTGGCCTGATGGAACTCTAAGTCGACATGACAGTGAATTGTCATGTTGTAGAAAATATTATTTGTATGATAAATACACATCTTTTAATTTATGTGGAAGTAACTGGACTTTGTTTACAGAAAGCCACAAAGAAAACTGATAAACCCAGGGTTGAAGATAAAGATGATCTAGACGTAACAGAGCTTACTAATGAAGAACTTCTGGATCAGCTTGTGAAATATGGGGTGAATCCTGGTCCTATTGTAGGTAAGTTGATAAAATTTGAAGTATCAGTATCCTGAATTGTTTCTTGTTGAGCAGTTTTGAGTTTGGGTTCTAATGGCCAGTCTGTTAGTAATTGTTTATATGACCAGATCCTCGGTTTCCTTAACTGTAAATGAGGGTAATAAAATGATGGAATGAAACCTGATAATCAGCAAAATTATCTGTTGAGATTGTTTCATATTGTGCTCATATCACACCACCTGGTGGAGATATGTGATTATTATATTACAGTTGAGGAAAATCTAAGATAACAGTGCTGGCTGACTTCAATCAGTAAGTTGGAGACAGACTTGTTAAGTAATTGAAGTTATTCAACTCTAGTATAATGTTCATTTTCAGTTATCATTAAAAGTATCCTTTCAAAAGTCTTACTTATTAGAATTTAACAATAATGCCCACCCTCCAAAGAAAAAGAGCAAAGGAAAAAACTTGGAGCTAGAGAAACTAAATTTCCATTGATTTTTCAGCACTGTTTATTTATGACTTAATTTTGGAGGGTCTTGACATAATCTAATGATGAGAAAAAGTCTTTTTCCTATGTTAGATTAAATTTTAAACATTGGAGATTTAGGATTTTTTTCCCCGCCATGGCATGGTTACGAACAAGGATTTAGAATGTTGTCTTCCTTTTTAAATTTTAATATACTGCTTCCAAGTTGGTCCTTATAAGTCTACTAATGTTATTACCAACAGACATTTGATAATCTTTTTAAATTTTTCATTCAAATTCCAAAAGAAGATGTGAAAATGTGTATTATGTGTGTATGTATCATGTACATGAAATTACATATTGTATACCAGCTGTTCATTTTTCCCCCAAGCTTTACTGAGGTATAATTTACAACACTATACATGATTAAAATCTACAGTTTGGTGTTTTGATAAATATATTGTGAAATGTTCAACACTGTCAAGCCAATTAACATATCCCACCAGAATGTGTAGTGAGAATACTTAAGATACCACTTAGCAGATTTCAAGTCTATTATACCTTATTGTTAACTATAACTTCATGTGGTACATTAGATCCCCAGAACATGTTCATCTTGCATAATCAAATTTTGTACCCTTAGACCAGCATTACACCCTCCTTAGCTGTTCATCTCAAGACTACTTACATAACATTTTCAGATATGTATTGTTTCTAAAAGATATGTTCACTTTATTAATTTTACAGAAGTCAGAAAGACATACAGCTAGCTTGAAACAGAAGATGAGAACTAATTTTGTTTTTAAATTAGTGTTGAAATTCGGGTGTTAAAAATTTGTTAATCATATTTTACTTTGCAATCTAATTGGTTTATAATTTTAATTTGTAACACTTTCCATAAAGGGTTGTTTTTAACTGCAAAGTAGTTATACTTAAATGTTATAGGACTTTCCCCATGACTAGATAGGTATGTGTAGGCATACTAACTGTGTAGGGTTTTCCATTTATTCATTCATTCATTCATTCATTCATTTTTAAAAAGATTTATTTATTTATTTATTTATACAAGAACTGGGGTATAGGTCAGAAGTGCGGGAGGGTGAGAGAATTCACCAGAGCTGGGAGCAGAACAGTCAGATGGACCGAAGACACTGCTGAGGGGAGCAGCAGGTGAGGCAGGAGAGGTCTGCTGCGCCATGTGGGGTTCTCTCTGGCCAGCGGGGAATTGAACCGGCGCTGCAGAAGCTGCAGACAGTTTTGCAGCTCGGCATTCAACTGCTGTGCCACCAGAGAGGCCCTTTGTTTTGTTTGGTTTATTTTTGTTTTGTTTTGTTTTTTAAAGATTTATTTATGCATACAAGAACAGGGGTACAGGCCAGAGGTGTGAGGAGTGAGAGGAGAGTGGGGAACAGAACAGGCAGACTGACTGAACTACGCTGCTGAGGGGAGCAGCGGTCAAGGCAGGAGAGGTCTGCTGCACCATGTGGGTTGCTCCCTGGCCGGCCGGGGATTGAACTTGTGCTGCAGTGGCTGTAGTAAGCTTCATAGGTTGTATCTTACCTTGTTCCACCAGGAGGCCCAGGTAGGGTTTGAATCATAGTATTTCTTCGGAGAAGTACAGACTGGTCTTTAAAAATTATTTTTCTACAAAGGTGGGGTCTGTTACATAGTAATGGAGAAAATATATAAGGTTCGAAACTTAAGTCAAAGATACTCCATTGGCTCTTTTCTAGGTGATCTATTTCAAGACCCGTATCAATCTACCATGTGTTCCATGCTATTAAAAGAAATGTAATCACATGTTACCCAGAAAAACTACCTACTTTAAAAAATGATCCATACATAGTATTTTTAAGTACTTAAGTTTAGCAGAGGAAAGAAAGTAACATTTTAATGTTTCTAAAGTTAATGCTGAGCTGGATCTTAAATAAAATAGAAGTACTAAAACATGTTCTGTCTTAATACAGGAACAACCAGGAAGCTCTATGAGAAAAAGCTGTTGAAACTGAGGGAACAAGGAACAGAGTCAAGATCATCTACTCCTTTGCCAACAATTTCTTCTTCAGAAAATACAAGACAGAATGGAAGTAATGACTCCGATCGATACAGTGACAATGAAGAAGGTAAAATTTTATGAGGTTGATCAAAACTATGTATTTTTTTCAGATTCATAAGATACCATAACCATGAAGAAAATAAAATTTGAAATATTAGCGAGATATGTGTAATTTTTATTTACATTATTACAGTATTCCTCCAATTAATTTAACTTAAATACCTATTGTTGAGAATTCTAAGAAACAAAAAAGTATAAATGTCTTAAATTTCTGTCACCTAGAATTGCTAGGTAACTTTACTTTTTTTCCTTCAAATCCTTCAAATCTCATTTTTCTAAGAGTAGTATTACAAGTAGTCCCACCTTACCTCTTTCAAATATCATCACTTCCAAAGCAACCATTATCCTTAATGTGATGCTTATATTTCTAAGGTTTTAAATGTTTCATGTGCATCTAATACATGTTACTGTTTTCAACTTTAAAAAAAAATCTATATAAACAATACCATGCTAAATGTTGTCACTTTCCTTTCTTTGATGTTAGATTTTTGAGAGCTCATCTTACTGATACATATATGTTTTATTATTCCTCATTCTTAATATATAGTCACAGTATTTGCACATGGCATGCATTCTCTGTTCTCTACTGCTAGGCATTTAAATTTTCAATTTCTGCTAGATAATCTGATTTCCAGGCAAGTTTAAACCAAATATTTTGACATATTTTAGTAGACTATTTTAAGAGAACTTTACTACATTTAAATATTTTCGTGAATACTACATGAAATAGGTGACCTTTTAAATTATAGCAGCAGTGGGCTATTTATAAAGTTTTAATTTGTATGACATGTTTATCATTTCCAGTTATTATTTAATTTGACTCAAATTGTTTATAACTCTATAAGCGTTGCCTGCCAGGGCATAGTCTGTCAAATTAGTTGTTCAGAATATGAAATATATAGTCTTTTCCTTCAACAGCACTAATGTTAGCAAAGAGGCAAAGAATAAAACCAACTTAAACAAAAGTAATGCTTAAACTTCCTGCCTCTTTTGCCTCTACAGGAAAGAAGAAAGAACACAAGAAAGTGAAGTCCACTAGGGATTTTGTTCCTTTTTCTGAACTTCCAACTACTCCCTCTGGTGGATTTTTTCAGGGTATTTCTTTTCCTGAAATCTCCACACGTCCTCCTTTGGGCAGGACTGAACGACAGGCAGCTAAGAAAGTATATACTGCTAAGGGAGATTCGTCTAGGGAACCTCTTAGTGCCACAACCTTGCCTGGCAGGGAACAGTTAGCCTCTGGAGGGAATTTGTTGCTTTCCTCCAAGTCTAGCCTTGATAGTTATTTAGAGAAAAATTCTTCGACATCATCTCAGCATGAACTTGCTGCTATGTTGGTCTCTGCTGCAGCTTCTCCTTCACTGATAAAAGAAACCTCCAATATTTGTTACAAAGATATACTAGGAAATATTTTCGGTGGAGAGAGAAGTGGAAGTCAGCCATTTAGTGCTGAGAGGTCTCATGTTTCAGAGCAGTCGAGTCTTTCCAGTGAAAGAAAAGCACTAGAAGAATCTGAGAGATCACAAGTAATTTCTCCGCCACTTGCTCAGGCAATCAGAGATTATGTCAATTCTCTGTTGGTCCAGGGTGGGGTAGGTAGTTTGCCTGGAACTTCTAACTCTTCACCCCCACTGGATTTAGAAAACACACGGAAGAGAATTGATAAATCTAATTTCCAAGAAACTGAATCCCTTTCTCCTCCACGGAAATTCCCTAGACTCAGTGAGAAGTCATTTGAGCAGGATTCAGGTTCCTCTGTGGGACTGCAAAATATACCTGCGTCTGAACTGATGTCCCCTTTTGCCAAAACTGTTGTCTCTCGCTCACTCTCTACATTAGGCATAGAAGTGCCTAAAGAATCACATCATAAAATAGATGCCCCAGAACTGTCTTTTCCATTCCATGAATCTATTTTAAAAGTAATTGAAGAGGAGTGGCAGCAAGTTGACAGGCAGCTGCCTTCATTGGCACACAAGTATCCAGTTTCTTCCAGAGAGGCATCACGTATATTATCAGTTCCAAAAGTAGATGATGAAATTCTGGGGCTTATTTCTGAAGCCACTCCACCAGCAGGTATTGAGGCAGCTTCCACTGTGTCTTGTGATAAACAGTTGGACTTGGCACTTTGTAGAACATATGAAGCTGCAGCATCAGCATTGCAGGCTGCAGCCCACACTGCCTTTGTTGTTCGGGCTATGCAGGCAGACATTAGTCAGGCTGCACAAATTCTTAGTTCAGATCCTAGTTGCATGCACCAGGCACTTGGAATTTTGAGCAAAACATATGACGCAGCCTCATTTCTTTGTGACGCTGCATTTGATGAAATAAAGATGGCTGCCCATACTATGGGCTATTCTACTATGGGTCGTCGACATCTGTGGCTGAAAGATTGCAAAATTAATCCAGCTTCTAAGAATAAGCTGGCTGTTACTCCCTTTAAAGGTGGGACTTTATTTGGAGGAGAAGTGCACAAAGTTATTAAAAAGCGTGCAAGTAAACACTAATAAAATTAAGACTAAAGAAACACTAGTAAGAGATTTTATCTTTGATATGGGGAATTTAGAAGCTTTTATGGAATTGCAGGTACTCTTAGGCCAAAATCTTCTTTAAAGGTGCTTTTTTTAAGACATAGACAAAAAGCCTGATAAAATCTAAAGCTTTCTAGATCACATTTTTTGTTTCAAATAGTTTGCTGTGTTTTACTAGAGTTTTTATATATATCTTCAAAACTTTTTAACATATCAAATGTTCTTTTACTTTCTGGAACCTGTTTATAATTTTTCTTATTTTCTCAATTTTGTTTGTTTTTTATTTTGTTTACAGTATCATTCATCATATTCTAGATTTGTATAACTCAGTGTGCCAACCTTTAGCTAGTGACCTACTGACACGCATGCACCATCATTTAAATCTAGAGATAACTTTAAGATCGGCTACAGAGTTTATCTTTGTTGTAAAGTTTTAATGATAGAGAGAAAACTGCTGATTCACATTCTGATGCAAATGCCTCGTTTCTTAATGGACTGGTAGCAAACAGTTCTGGACCACACTTGAGAAGCACTACCCTAGCTGATAATCTGGGACAGTGCATTCCCACTGTCACTGTAACTGTCACATGAGCTGGGCCACTGGAAAGATGGAACCTTTTTTTTTTTAAATACATTTAAGGTATCTTGTAGCTGTGAATGATTAGGCTACACTTAACAATCTGCACTCTAAAAACAAGTTACTAGGGTTTCTTTTTTAAGTCATAGAAATCACAGTGTCTGTATGTCTATGTAAAGCAATACATTATCCTCTGTTTTCATTTTTATGATTGTAAGATGAGACAGCCTTAACTTTGGAAGCATTTGATAATCTAATTTTGTGTTTCTATGGAAAATAGTTCCTCGGGTACTTCTAGTTATTCTTAAACTATACATGTCCATCTTTGCAGCTTTCTGGGAGTAATTTTGTTGTCTTCTGAAATGTACATGTATCCATGTACCTACTACATGCTATGTGATTTTTTAAAATGTATTACTGTAGTATGCTTCTGCAAATTCAATAAAGTTAAATTTGAACAGTTTTGTGTGGTCTCCAGAAACATGTTGTATGTGTGTTTTATTCTTTGGAGTTGCAGCAATTTAGATGTATGTGAATGAACATCCCTTTTCCATTTCATCAATGAAACTCATTTGGTATTCCAGTGGTATAGTTGAAAAAATTTTTTATGGTTTTCTTCTATTTGACGATCATGTTTTTAATTGGCTGTTGGAATTTAAATTTGTAAGTGGAATTACTCTGTAACCAGATAGTTATTTGTTAAATCAGTTTCTGCTTAGCCACTATTAGAATCTTGGCTTTCTAATTTTTAGATTCTGAGTAAACACCTTAAATTTTAAAATGCTAAAGACTGTCACAAATAAATATAATAGTGGATATATTAAGAGAAGTATTGGGAGGTGAGGGGTGAATTTGATGCCTTAATCTTAAATAAAAATTGAACTATTTGAACTAGGTAAGAATCACTATTTTTGTGAAATTTGAAGTAGGTTCAGGGTTGACTAGTGTTAACAGTAGATAGCCAGATACATTTATCTTACCTAAGTCACTTTTTAGCACAACTTACATACATTGAGTTGATATAAAATTGAGTCTTTAAGGATGAACTCTGTCTCTGGTAAGAAAGTAATTTAACTCAAAATTTTTGGTGATAGAAGTTTTAGAAGTAATAGCTGGCAGGTATTTTGCTATATTATGATAAATGACTGACAAATTGTGGAAATTAAAATTATCAGTCTTTTTAAAAAAATCTGTTATATAATCAATGCTGGGAGAATGGATTACTGATGGCCTATAAAAAGATGTATATTTGAGTTGTTCAGTTAATAACCATCATGGTGGCTATGTGCCCTAACTTCTCTGTACAGAGGTGTATATTATTAAGGGGGGAATAGAAGTCCCTGTGATGGTTGTGTTTTTCTGTGCGCAAGATTCCTCTTTACCTCAGTTACACCTAAAAAGTTTTTTGTGGGCCTCCCCGGTGGTGTAGCGGTTGAGCACTGGGTTGCGAAGCTGCCCACAGCCTCTGCAGTGCCGGTTCAATCCCCGGCTGCTCCCCTCAGCAGTGTACTTCGGTCCTTCTGCCTGCTCTGCTCCCCGCTCTAGCTCTGGTGAATTCTCTCACCCTCCCGCGCTTCTGACTATACCCAGTGTTCGTAAAAATAAATAAATAAATTTTTTTAAAAAAAAAAGAAAAAAATCTTTAAAAAAGTTTTTTTGTATCACATCAAAAAAGAAGGGAAGAGAGACTTTTAAACTGCTCTAAGGTGTTAATGTTACGCACATATTGTTAACTTGAGATTTGATAGCATACTTTTTTTAACCTTTATGTAGTAGTGATGCATTCTGGTCAAAAGAATGGCAACAACTATTTTAGTTCCTTTTCCCACATAAAAATTGCTTTTGATGAAAAGCCTCTTTGAGAGTGGTTTGAATTCACTGTTTTAGGCTACTAGGCCCCCCAAAAGAAAAGGAGAATAAATTGAAAGCAGTAATCTAATTCAGGTGTCAAGGAATAAATGAGAATGGAATAAAATGACAGGAAAATTGTTATGGACAGGAAGTTTGGTTTTTTGAGTTAATACAATTGACAAATTTGTTTTACATATTAATGTGCCTGAAACCAGGGTTCCTAAATAATGTTAGGATGATCCTGTAGTTTGTTTCAGAGAGTAATGGTTTTTCCAATGTTATTTCCAGACTCTAAAATAGAGCTCAAGCTTGAGAAGAGAGAACCACTAAAAGGCAGAGCAAAGACTCCAGTAACACTCAAGCAAAGAAGAATTGAGCACAATCAGGTATCTTGTTTTATGATGATCATGGTGAGGTACAGGTCCTCTGCTGGCAGTGCTAATTTGCCTGTGTTTTAGCCTTTGGTAAATAGTTGACAAGCACATTCCAGCATTTGACAGTGTTCATTTCATGGCATTTTAAATCTAAACTTTTTGCGTTTTGTCAATAGTGCACCTGTGCTTTACTGCAAAAGTAAGTAATAGATGTTTTATTTGTGTTTGATTCTGTGCTAAGCATGGTTCAAAACCAATCATACTACTTTTTTTAAGAGAAATATTTTATAAGGTAGAAATGCCTAAGCAATTCTGGTATAATTTCTTTAAAAGGCAGAGCAAGGGTTTTATATTTATGTCTGCCTCTAGACTTCTGACCTGCTTGTCTTCTGTGATTTCGTTTTCAACTCTGAAGCTTGTCTGGTCCTAAGACCACACTGTTTTCCTTTATTCTAGATGAAAACTGACCTTTATATGAAAAACAAAATGCAGTTTTTTCAGAAAGAAATCAAGGGGAGAATAAGCAAAGGATTAAATTACAGAGAACAAATTACTGACTATAATCTAGCTTTTATTTGGCTGACACCTTGCAAGACAGCTATCTTTAATCTGTCTAGCTGGAAGTTTTGTCTAACTGGTTGTCCTTTTACTTAATCTTTGCCGTTTCTATAGTCATGCATCCTCAAAGGAAGTGTTCTTGCGTATTTAAGCCATGTCTCTCTTGACTTGATTTAGTTGATTAGTTGAATTTCAGAGCTGCTCAGTAGAAAGGAGCTTGGTGGCTTGAAAATATATAGAGAGCACTGAATGAAAGATTTTGTTTAATATAGAGCCAAATAATGGAGTAAATTTTATTGCTTTTTAATCTTACATTGCTAGGGACAAGCTGCAGGGGCATTCTGAAGAATAAGGAAATAACAGAGCAAGGAAAAGTAGGAAAATCTGGTGAAGGACCCTGAAATAAACTTGGGAAATTCTGGTCCAGAGTGAAGGCAAAATGGAATAGTGCTGGCAGGGACCCATGGCTGGCCAGAGAATGGATTCAAAGGAGGGGAGTAGCATTGTATTAAAGATTGATCAAAGGTTAAATATTTTGAGTTGGGGGATCTAAACTGAGGGGCAGGGTAGTCAAACGAGTCAATTTAGAAGATGAGAACATAGAATAGACCTGACTATACAAAATGTCAAGCGTAGAAAAGTAAAAGGAGGGGCCTCCCTGGTAGCGCAACCTATGAAGCTGTCCACAGCCACTGCATCATGAGGTCGTGCCCCGGCCAGGGAGCTACCCACATGACGCAGCAGACCTCTTCTGTCTCACCTGCTGCTCCCCTCAGCAGTGTATTTCAGTCAATCTGCCTGTTCTGTTCCCCTCTCTGTCTCTGGTGAGTTTTCTCGCCCCCACATCTCTGGCCTGTACCCCAGTTCTTGTATGCATAGATAAATCAATCTTTAAGAAAAAAGAAAAGTAAAAGGAATTTAATCACCTTCTAGTCACATAGGCTCAACAGTTGTCAACATTTTATTTCATCTTAGACTGCTCTCTCTAGCAATGTAAGTTTTTTGGGGTTTTGTTTTGCTTTTTGCTGGAATCTCTTAGAGCAAGTCTCTGAGACTTTTCACATTAAAATGTCAGTATTTCAATATATTTAAGTCATAAGAGCTATTTTATATATAGTACATAATTATAGGTAATTTTTAATGATTTTATATATGCGATTATATGGGGATTTTACATATATATGTATATCTAGTAAAATTAATAGTTGTTTCACATCTAATGTACGTCAAACAAGATCCACATATCATTTGGTTTTTGTTTTTAAATCTACGTCTGTAGCTGTTCCCACTATAATGGTTCTGTCCCTCCATTTTTTTGGTTTTAAAAAAAAACATCAGTTCGCTGCAGAATTAGCCATATTCTGGATTTGGCAGATTAATTGTTCAAGTAGCATTTAATTTGCTCTTCTATACTTTGTATTTCCTGTAGACTTGGAGTTAGACTTGTGGTAGGGCTATGTAATAGGTCTTTTTTGTGATGATGGAAATGTTTTATATTTGCTGTCCATTTTGATAACCATTAGCCACATGGGGTATTCAAATAGTGCTTGGAATGTGACTAATGTGGCTGACAAATCAAAATTTTGATATTACTTAAATTTAAATAACCACATGTAGCTAGTACTTACAGTATTAGCACAGACCTAGAGGGGTTGGTTAGATTCATGTTCATTTTTTTGGACAAGAATGGTCATAAACAGTGTTTTGGGCTTCAAATTGCATTATTTTAGGAGGCATGTCATATTTTGTTGATGCTAAACTTAACTACTTAATGTCAAAAGCCTGATGAATCCATTATGCTGTTCACACTGCCATTTTATTTATGGTTGTACGATAGTGATTTTTCTCATTCTCTCATTTCTTTATATCTATGACTGGAATTCCTTTTTTAAGTACTTTCTCTCATGAACTGCTTAGTTACCTTGAAATAAATTCTTGTAAGATAAATATTTACTTTGCCATTTAGTTGTCAATTTCCAAAAAGTGCTTTTCACTTTGAAAGATATAAAATCTTGGGCCTCCCTGATGGCGCAAGCGGTTGAGCACCTCACTGTGAAGCTGTCCGCAGCCTCTGCAGTGCTGGTTTGATCCTGGCCGGCTGGCGAGAATCACACATGGCGTGGCAGACCTCTCCTGTCTTGCCCACTGCTCCCCTCAGCAGTGTATTTCTTCAATCGGCTTATTCTGTTCCCCACTCTGTCTCTGGTGAATCCTCTCACCCTCCCGTGCATCTGGCCTGTACCCTGGTTCTATCAATCAATCAATCAATCTTTAAAAAAAAAAAGATATAAGTTCTTTTTACTACAATTTTTTCTACATTTGATTTGTGATAAATTGCAGTCACTAATTCTTTTTTTCATGTTTAAATTGTGTCTTTAGCCAGCAAGAATTACTACGTTGGTTCCTGTGTTCTTTTATTGACCCAAATACAAATATGTCCTTTATGGCTTCTTGTTTTCTGCACAGTAAAAGTTGTGCCTGCCTCTTATCAAGTCAGCCATTTTCCCAAAGAACCTCCATCCTTTTAATTGAAAAAATTGTTTGGAGGCTATCTAGGTGCTAGGGTGTTCATTCCTATGGGGTTGCCATTGCTGCTAGGCCTTTTCAAGGGAGTATGTTTATTAGAATGTAAATAAATCATGAATTCATTGTTTATGAATGCAGGCTACCTAACTTCTAGGTGTTTTATCTTTTCTCTTAGGCTATCTTGGTTGTTAAAATAGTGTTGTTACGTTGTGCTTATCACTCTATTTGTTTTAAATACTACAGTATTATCACTAGCAAGTCTAGTAAAGGCCGTTTTAGATTTGAGGGAATGCAGTTTTTCTTTAAGATATAAATCAGGGGGCCTCCCTTTTAGTGCACGGGGTTAAGTCTCAACACCATGAAGCTATCTGGAGCCACTGCACCATGAGTTCCATCCCTGGCCGGGAGCTACCCACATGGCGCAGCAGACCTCTCCTGTCTCACCTACTGCCTCCCCTCAGCAGTGTATTTTAGTCAGTCTGCCTGTCCTGCTCCCCACTCTGTCTCTGGTGAATCCTCTCACCCCTACCTCTGACCTACATACCAGCTCTTGTATGCATAAATAAATAAATTATTGGGGGAGATATAAAATCAAAATTCTAGGTATCAAACTACTTGAAAAATTTTTCAGTCAATTTTACCTTTTATTTAGATTGATACCTAGTTTTGTTTTGACAAAATTAGAGTCAGAAATCTTGCTCTTCTATTTTACTCCTTCCACTCATAGGTAACTATTTTTTTAGTCAAACTTTGGTTTATATGTTGTTTCTTGTTGAAAGTAGAAGTAAATGCGTAGATTAATATACTCTCTTCACTCATTATGTAAAGGTAGTCTGTTTTGCCACATTCCATTTGTGTTTTTAATCTAAGAACATATCCTGGCACAGAATATAGCATAGCCATCTCCTTCATTGATTTGTACAGTTTCATGGTGTTGCATTTTATGGATTTAATTCAACCACTTTCATTTAGTGGATATTTGAGTTATTTCCCATTTATACAGTATTTTTAATAATGTAGGGATAAATCGGTGTTATTTAAATAACATGTTTATTTAATATTGCAACCAGTTTATCTTCAAGAAATTTTGCTAGATGTTACAAATTCCCTTCCATAACAGTGGAAACATTTTTCATACCCACCAGCAATGTATGCCAGTACCTTTCTCTAATAAGGAATATGGTGTTGTTTAAAAAAAATGTGTTTATATGAGTAACCATGTTGATTGGGTTTTACCCAGTTGATAGTTCCTCACAATAAGGTGGCTTTTTACTTTCCTCTGTTAATTTTTTTCATAAA